CCGCCGCCGCCACCACCACCCCCACCGCCACCATCACCACCAACAGCGGCAGCAGCAGCCTCACAAATTGTCATCGGCGTCATCTTTTGTAAATCTTTCGCAACAGAACCCGCAACCACAAACCTGGACCCGTGAACTTTATCCAGAATCCCTGAGCCTATACAGCCTCAAATCCTACCGCCAAAGCTCCAAATACAACCTCAACGCCTCAACTCCCGACAAGGTTACAATGTGCTCACCAGCATTCAGGACGTAGGCACTGCAGCGGAGGCGCTGTGGACCCTAGCAGGCTGTTCCCCGAGCGATACCGAGAGCTGCCATGGGCAGACGGACTACCACATCACTTTCGGAGCTGCTTCGAGCGGTTTAGGAGTTTAGGAGTTCAGGGTTTAGGCTTTTGATACAAAGTCGAGGGAAGAAGCAAAAGTGTAGATTCGCGCACTCACGTAGGTACATCTATGGACACCCACCCACATATGTGCATATACATACAAGAGTCTTTGTATATGTATGTATGTATGTATGTATGTATGCATGTATGTAATGTATGTATGTATGTATGTATGTACGTATGTATGTATGTATGTATGTATGTATGTATGTGTGTATATATAGAAATACATGTATGCATATATATATATATGTATTTCTGCATCTATATCTATATCTATATCTATATCTATATCTATATCTATATGTATATCTAATATATATATATGCATATCTATATCTATATCTATATCCATATCTATTTCTATTTCTATATCTATATATATTTCTATATCTATATCTATATATTACTATATATATATGGATGCATATATATATATATGTATACATATGTATATATGTGCACAGACGTACATAGATGTACACACGGCTGTTTTTGGTTTGCATTTCATGTTATGGCATTGATGGTTATCAACATGGACACACACACATATATATATATATATATATATATATATGAATGAGAATATTTACGTATATACAGTACATATATGGAGGTGTGTACAAGATTCCTTAAGAGGATGTCGCCCACCCTCTCTCCTCCATTTTGCGCTCGACCGCTTGCAAGTTCGCTTGCCCTTGCTGATGTTGCCACTCTTGCGTTCGCTCCTGCCGTTATTTTCACTCATTCACACTCCTTTCCACTCGCTTGTTTGTGCCTTTGTGTGATCCCGGCTTGATTTGCTTGGTTTACTCCTTGGCCCTGAGCCGGTTGTTTTGTGATCCCACGTTGCGTCGGAAACGAGGTTACCTTTAGCGCGAATGTGTCGGCAGAGTACGACCGGGTTCAGCGGCTCCAAATGGGCGGCTTGCTGGAAAACCTTGCGAGCATGGGATATCTCACTCGAGCCGGGATATATGTGACGCAAGCCCTTCTACAATCTGCAGAGTCTGCTACATCCCGGTCCCTCCTGGATGATTACAGGAGGGCTGCTCCCGTATCTTTCGCTTTCGGGGAGATCACATTATCATCTTTAGTGCCTGCTCTTGAAAGTATGCCTCCCGAAAGACCCGAGAATTTGGAAAAAACCCTTCTTTCACAGGAGTTATGACGCGCGCTACCATGAACCACAGTCCTTCTTCGACGACGTGGAGAGCATCGATGACTCCCAGCTCGTTCCGTGTGCTGGTTGGCTAACTTCCGGTGAGGCCGGGGCTTTCTGGGCTTAGGGCTTAGGGTTTAGGGCTTCCTGGGTTTGGGGTTTTAGGGCCTAGGGCTTAGGGCTTTGGGTTTAGGGCTTTAGGGCTTAGGGTTTAGGGTTTACGGTTTAGGGCTTTGAGTTTAGGGTTCAGGGTTAAGTTACTAGAATAAGGAAACCATATTACTTACAATAGATCCCTATTATGGTAACTTGAATCAAATTCCTTTACAAGAACCCAGTAACCTAGGACCCTGTTTAAGAATCCCTCGGCCTATGAAGTAGTAGGAACCAAAAACAGAACAGTAATAAAGACACAAGGTTTCTTAATGAGGTTCCCATATTCTCTTTGAGATGTTTAGTTGAGTTTCGGGTTTAAGGGGCTGTAAGTTCAAACCCTATTACCTTTCAACAAGAAACTATTTTCTTCCTTTCGAGGCCCCAAAGCAACATTCTCCTAAAGCCAATTCAGGACCCAAACCGAAAACCACATCCTTTCTAATCCCAAACCCTAGATCCGAAACTCGTTCACCCTTGTAAAGCCCATGTAGGCCCCCAAGCCCTAAACCTTATAAGCCCCAGCTCTAAACCCTTACCCCAAGCCCTATATCCCTGTAAAGCCCAAGCAGTGCAGGCCGCGCTGTGTGAGAACAACTGGTGGAAAGCCCCGACGTGTCGATTCAAAGGCGGCTTGAGCCGGGTTTCATTGAGTCGTTTAGAAAATTCACGGCTCTTCTTTCGGGGTTCAGGGTTTCGGGTTCTTGGCTTCAGTGTAAGCTTCGGATCACTGTTTTGGGTCTTTGCGGCTTTAGCACTCCAGGGTTGAGAAGGCCTTCTTTCGCAATGATCCAGGCAATGGCAGTTGCGTTCCTTGCATGACAGCCACGGTCGGGAGATCTGCCTACAGAGTCGCCGAAGTCATTGATAAAGCCGTCGCCCACACGATGCCCATTGCTTTGGGAGTGACGAGAAGCGTTAAGGATCTACATGACCTGGTGGCGGCTCACCGGACGTTGTTCGTCTTCTGGGAGCCGGATGTCACCTTTCTCCAGCTCCACCCACGCCGCATCTCCTTCCCCAAGCACAACCCACTCCAGTGGCTGCGAGGCGACTATAGCACCGACTCGCAGGCGGAAGACCCCAGGATCGTGGTCAGCAGTGATCTGATGATGCATGCGCCCGACGTTCGGGAGATGTTGCTGAAGATGAAGTGGCCGCTCAGCGAACCTGTGACAGCATCTTTTCACTTGACAGTGCAAACCAGATAAGTGCCTAAACCCCAAGCCCCAGAATCCTAAACTCTGAACCGAGCATCCCAAACCCTAAGCCCGAAGCCCTGTCCCCTAAACCCTAAACTTAAAGGCTTGCCACCTGGACAGGTCCTTGTCCGACATCGATGCCATGATGCAGGATGGAGTGGAAACGAAGGTTCCGGCTTTTTTTGGGGGGGCCTTCGGGGTTTAGGGGGGCTCTTCGGGTGATAAGGTTCGGGGCTACGAGGGTTGATTCAGGGTTTGGTGTGCATGGGCTTCCGAAGCCCTAAACCCTAAACCCTAAACGGTGCAGGAAAAAGGTCCGGCAAGAAAAGGCAAGAAACCTAAACCGTTGTGGGCTTTGACTGCGGCTCGATCCGGTCTATGCCGGCATTGGGGATCCCACCATCAACCTGCAGGGAGGCCCTGGTCCCTTCAACTCAAACTCTAAGCTGGAAGCCTCTGCCTAAATTCTCAAGCCACAAAGACCCAAAACCAATAAGCCCTGATGCCCAAAACCTGCGAGAAAAAAGGTCCTAAAAGCACAAACTTCCGAAACCCTAAACCCTGAACCCTAGCCGGCAGGCTTTGGCCGACGGACTAATTCGGCCCAGCTTCGGAGAACTTCTGGAGGTCCTCCGTTCTGATTGAGCTTTAGGGTTTTGGCTTTAGGGTTTAGGATTTAGAAATTTAGGGTTTAGGGTTTAGGATTTAGGGTTTGGTGTGAAGGGCGTAGTGTTCAGGGTTTCCATGGATCCGTTTTCGGTCAGATAGGATGGTCATAAGAAGCCCTAGATAAACTGCAGGGCCATAGGACAGTGAGAAGCCGCTATTGACCCACATTGCTCGAGTAGGTACATTACCTGATACTCATTGTCATGTTGTTTGTTCATAAGCCTGTCGGACGACGAAGAAAAATCAGAGAGAGACAGAGAGAGAGAGAGAGAGAGAGAGAGAGAGCGAGAAGGAGAGACAGTTTGTGCCTATATATACAATATATGTGCATGTATGCAGCTGAAATCCTCTGTCGGTTCACCTCCGCGCCTAACAAGCTCCTCATGCCCGGGAGAGTAGACGGGAGTGTGGGTGCATATAAAATATGTACATAGGTGTGTGTGTATACAGATATATACAGAGAGAGATTAAAACAAACACACACACACATATATATATACACACACATGCATACATACATACATACATACATACATACATACATAATACATGTGCAAGGGGACGAGCAAATTGTCGCAAACCAATCCTGCAGCGCAGCGGTTGCCAATCGTTGCATGTCAAGACGCTTCGATCAATACCTTAAGGGAAGTTCGCTGTGTACGTTGTATGTACATATGCATAGAGCTTGTCGTGCAACTTGTTCTTGCCGTACTTGTAGCTACAACCAAAGGATGCAGATCCCCACCCCGGACCCGGGACCAAGGTAAACAAAGCACACCCGCCCCCCCACCCCTCGCCCGAAAATGAACCTTACACTCCCATTGGCGCACGAAGCTTCTATAGGTCGAGCTGAGTTCTGGAAATTGGATCTCTGGTGCTGCCTGGGAGGGTGCATGCAACTGGCTTCGTACCCACGTGACTGGGCGATAAGTTGCTTCCTCTTTTCCCTGTGGTCAGAGGCTCTTATGTTTGGACACCCCTAAACCCTAAACCCTAAACCCTAAACTACTTGTCTTGGTTTGTTTGGAGCTTTTGGGGTTTGTTGGGTCCCTCATGGGATCGGGAGTCTCCTTTGAGGGATCGGCCCTTGATAGCCTGAGGACTACAAGTTTGCGCTGGTCCGAGGTTCTCTAAAGACATACGTCCAAACTCAAGGGCCTGAATTTTTCCCCAAATCCCCAAGCCCTTTCTGAATTCAGGGGAAGCACCGTTTTTTGCGAAGCAGGCGTGAAGCCAGCAAGCACACTTAACGCTGCTTTCTGGCACATCCGAAAGCTGGGGTTTCCCTGACCATTGTTTGCACTCTGCCTGGTGGTGGGGGCTTCTTATCTGAGTCTATAAGCCACCGCACTCCCACAGCTTCTTCAGCCTCCCCGAAGTAGGGCCTCCCAAAAAGAAGGGGTCGGTTACCAGGTGAATCCCCTTAGAGCAATGCCCACTCTCCACGAACACGGCAGAGTGGAAGAGGAAAGGGAGAGAGGGCCATAGATGATTAGATGGCCGGCCCCTTTTGGGTCAGGTCCAGGATGTACCAAGGCGCAAAACTAGAATTCGCGGGAGCGCAGATAGCACACAGCGGGAGTAGCCGAATCCCTGTCTGCAAAGCGTTGCAACTGGCTTCAAAAAGCTTGGGGGTAGGCACTGAGTGGTCTTGGGGCCGGGAAACAAACGTCTGACATTTAAAACCACAAGCAACTCAAACCCGCGTTAAACATGTCTGCGACTGCCTGGGCCTAGGAACACATCTGGAGGACCTGGATTCCTCAGGCCGTGTAGTCAAGTCTTGTGGTTTTGGTCATTGGAGTCTAATTGTCTAGGGACTAGTCCCATCAGGTCTCGAGGTGCGGGGTGGCTTGCAGTATAAGAAAGGTTGCAAGTCGGTACTTACGAGGTGTCATCAGTGTCGAAGGTCCTCTTTTCTGGTCTATGGGGCCAGCGGCTTATGTAGGAAGAATCGAATTATGGTCGCAAACGTTCTTCTAGGCCGACGCAGGGTTTAGGGTTTGGGGGTTGAGGGTTCAGGGTTTAGGGTTAGGGTTGAGGGTATAGGGGTTGAGGGGCTCGCAAGAACAAAAGCTCGCAAGGCTGCCTACCCTAAATCCGCAAGACCCCTGGAAGAAGCCACAAGCCGGGACCACCCCGAATCACTTTTAACGTTTAAAGTTTAGGAGTTTCTGGTTGAAGGGTGCAAGAGTTGAGAGCTTCAGGGTTGGAGGATTACTACTTTGAGCTTTGTGGCTTCGTAGATTAGCGGTTTGAGTCTGAGTGACAAGGTACCTTCGAAGCCTAAACCCTAAACCCTAAACCCTAGACCCTGAACCCCAAACCCTAAACCCTAAGCTACCC